CCTGGCTGAAAAACATGGAAATGTGAACTTAAAAACTCAACATCTTTTTAAAACACAGGAGGGAGAGGGGAACAAATACAGAGAAACCCATATTAAATTACATTTTAATTAAATTATTTTGAAAACATGTCAGCCACCGGGACCTGACTCACAGGTTTGGGTTGCCCAGGGTGGGCAATGCTGTTTTCTCTTGCTTCTGATTTTTCAGATCCGCCCCCACCCTTCCCCCCCGACTCTCTTTATTCTGTATAATCTTTGTCAGGCTCTGTCCTTCCCCTGTCACTTTACATTTCTTAAATTTCTTCCACTTTCTCTCCCCCGCGCCACCCCTCAGGTCCCCTGCACATCAGCCCAACCCCCCCATGTCACCCCCCAAGGCCCCCTCATGACCCCGCCCCCGCGCACCCTGCATGACGTCGCGGAGCTCGCGGAAGTCGCGGGCGCGGCCTGCGCGGTAGGCACGCATGGCCTGGTGGAAGTAGAACTGCAACACCCAGCGGTTCACCGCCTCCTCGGGAACGGCCGGCCCCGCCTCCGCCTCCGCCATCGCCGCCCGCCGGCAGCTCGCCCCACGCCCGCGCCTGCCCGCCATCCCGCCAGGACGTGACGCGTACCCCATGCCGGAAATGACGGCCTACCCCTCACACCGTCAGGGAAACTGAAGCACCCGGCATGCCCTGCAGCCCCGGGGACTACATTTCCCATCATGCGTCACGACGCGTCGCAGAACCTTCACCCTGCAATGGCGACTTCATTACTGGCATGCCTTGCGGCAAAGAGCAACTACAAGTCCCGGCATGCCCCGCAGCGCCCCCGGCATGCACGCACGTGGGCGGCTCGAGGCTTCCCGCGAAGCCCTAGGGCGGAGCCGCGGGTGTGGCCGCCCTTGGCCCAGGCACTCCCGCCCTGCTGGGAGCCACGTGCTAAGCTGCGGCCCAGCGTCCACGTTCGAGGCAGAAACATGCGGAGCTCAATTGGTGCTTCCAGCACCCGGACCCAGCGTCCTGGATGTGTCCTGCAGCCAAGGGCCTGTCTCTCTCCCTGACTTGGAGGCCTCTCTGCTGCCTCGGCGAGGTAGAGCCTGCAAGGAGAAGCCCATGTTTTTGTCCTGTAGAGGAGAATCCATTTTTAAAGCTTGTTCGTGACCCTTTTATAGATCCCTGCTTTTGGGTGGCGACCCGAGGGGCGAGAAATGCCAAGGAAGATGGTGATGAGCAGCGTCATTGGTGACCCCCTTGCTGCTGTGCTGCCAGGCAGTTGGCTTTAAATTTTGGATGGGGTGGGAATGAACGAGGGGTGCGACTGCGCCCTGCCGGGAGATTGCTGTCAAAGACATCCCTCCCCAAATCACACTTGATCTCCATTAACTGACTGGAGAAAAGGGAGTGATGTTCTCGAGAGTGAAGGCACCTCCTGGAATACCAAGCACCACCGCTGTCCCAGGCCTCAGGATTTCCTAATTTTTCCTTCGTGTCACTGTTCCTGTTGTCCCATCTATTTGGTGAAATTAGTTCATCTTGTTGTGCCGGCATCCCTTCTTCTTTTCCTCGGATGTGGTCTTTTAAGCACCCTTGGAAACGTGGGCTCACTTTAGTAGGATTAAGCTTCCCATCCCCTTTTGTTTCTAATGCAAACCCTATAAGAAGGGTATCCAGGTTGGGTAACCCTATAAGAAGACAAGCTGCCTTTTGGCACTACCCAGCTTGCTGTTGGAGTTGTACCTAGACACAAAATGTATATGAATCATTTAGATTTTAATATTCTGGCCAATTACTGCCTTGCCTTCATCAGTCCCTTTCTAGTTTTATTTTCCTAGGCTATGAACATACTCATAACCAGTGGATCTAGATGCCCTTTTTGAAAGCTGCCTCGTAGACAAATCTTTCTTGTTGTGCAAAAAACATTCAACACTAAACAACTGCAGCAGAATGAAAGAATTTGAAGTCAGAATCTACAGTCTGTGTCCTTCCTTGCAACTTCCAGCTGAGAAACAATGTCTCCTCTGGCTAATTAACTGCACAGGTAAACTCCAGGAGGCAATGCTCACCCATTTCTCTTCTGGCAGAAAAATAAGTACCACTAGGAGTTCCAGTAGGCTTTCCCCCTCTCATCAGCTGCCCACAGAGGAGGAGGAGGAAAAACACACCAGAAAAATTTATGTGTATGAAATGGAAAACAATAAAACAGGGAGGGGAAGACATGTGATTGGCAAACAAACAAAGGGTAGTAAAAATTATTGTAATCTGCGAGAGGGGATGCTGCCTTTTCACCTCGGGGCCAGGTGAGTGATGTTTGGAATGTTTTACCCAGGGAGCTGCTTGAATGGAAGTAAAAAAAAAACCAGTGACACGTGACTTGGGATTTTACAATACAGTAAGGCAGGGTTAGGAAGGATATAGAGAGAGAGGCTGCGAGGAGTGATGACAGAATTGCGCAGCTGGGTAGGGCACCTTGCCACATTAAATGCAAGAGAGCAGCAACATGATTCAGATCTTGTCCCGTGACAGCCACCGATCAGGTTGGGACAGGTAAACTGCATTGGCTTCTCTTGCCCAGAAGTAACATTATTAACAAGATAAAGCATTTCCAAAGGTTTTTTGTTACTCAAACTCATTTTTAAACATTATTTTTGGGCAGAAAGATCCTCAAGCTTCCAACAGCTTGCTAAATCCACCAGCTTCCATGTGCGCCTGAAACTCCCGGACCCTGCTAGGGGTAGCAGCTCCAGCTGTTGTGACTGATTGCAGAATCTTGAACAGCTTTATCTGAGCTCACACATGACAAAATTGAGATTTGAGAACCCATCTCGGGAGACAGTAAAGTCCCATCATTCTCTTACATTAGTAAGCAGTTATAGCTGAAGTCTAATTTGAAGGCTTTGATACTCCCAGCCATTTAGAATAAATTAATCAACAGATTCATAATGGGCCTTTCACAACATGGACTTGGCCCCCTAAAGGTGGCAGGCAGCTTGATTCAAGGCAAGGGCCTGGCTTTGCAAGTCACTGCCATCCTATTTTGATGGCAGATCTTGTCAGATTCTTTAGATTAAAGAGTATTGGGGCAGGTTGGTGCCTGGGAAATGTGTGCAGAAATTCCCCAGCACTGCAAGAAGCGCTCCTGGCCATTTAGTATGTGCTTTGTTCCTTCTGCGTCAGACTTTAACCCAGTGACCTTGCCTGGGATGCAAGAAGCTCCCTGGGAGAGTGCTCCTCTTGGGGATGACGTTTGCTAGAGGAGACTCTGGACCACGTGATGGTCCTGCACAATCGCATGACAGCAGTTACTGGAGGGGGAATGTTAGTCTTGGTATCTCAGTCACTTTTCACCCCAGGTAAATAACTCTCTGGTTGGCCTGTCTTTCTCCTTCCTTTTCAGGTGGCGACAACACCCCTCCTTACTTATCCCAAACAATAGCTGTTTTTGTGGTGCTCTAGATGTCAGGGAAAATCTCACATGCCTGTAAGGTACCTCGAGCTCTGGTTTGTAAGGGACCTATAGTAACATACCAAATGTTTTGCTGGATGGAGGAGAGGGATCAGGGGAGATAGGAGTGGGCAGTGGGAAGGGTATGTGAGCAGCTTCCCTGCCCAGTTTTGCTGAATCTTTTCTGGGTGTCATCAGCAATTCCCTGTCAGGAAGAGGGTTGGTTTCTCTGTGCCAAAACAAACACCAGGCAGGAAGGGACAAATTACAGTCATGTGTGCGCTTTCTGTCTTAGCTGCCTGATTTATAGACTTTGATTCAGCGATTAGAGATGAAAGAAAACATTCCAGAGACCAAGACCTGCATGTTGCTGGGGTCTCGTGTCTGCCTTTCTGTATGAGTTACTGCAATGAGGATGGGAAACAAAAGAGGAAAATTACAGGGGGCATGCTGGTCACCACACACTGCCTTCTCTCTCGGTATTTACTGAGTGCAGTCTGTGCGCTTGGCACTGTACAGACTACGGGAAAACAGTCCCTGCCCTAAGGTGCTGGCTGTCGAGCCAGACAAATGATAACATTTCAGACTCCTGTTTGTCTCTGAGAACAGTAACAAGGAATGCGGACTAGAGGATGAGTTTATTGCTTTGTTTTGTAGGTAAATAAGTGTGGACCAACTCTGCTGTCTGCCAGATGATGATGATGATTTATTATGTGTGTTACCATGGGGCTTTGGGGCACCCGCCATGGCCCAGGGACCCCCTGTGCTAGGGCTGCACAAAGAGAGCAAAGAGGCAGGTCCTGCCCAAGCAGCTTAGTCTAAGAAGGGACAGCAGATGAAGGCAGACAGATGGGGGAGCACGAGGAAACGATGAGTCAGTGTTGGGCAGTGCGAGAAGCTGTGGTCTTAAGGTACCAGTGGTATAATGCAAGATTCTTGTCATCATCCTGGAAGAGGGCGGTGTAAGGAGGGGTCTGACTGAGGATAATGAGGTGGGTTCGCAGACGTGGGGACCTCCCAAGCATGAGCAGCTGTATGGAGATGTTATGTAGAGAACATTGGCAAACTTGAAACTTGGCTTGGATACAAGGGTTTACAAAGAGGTCCAAGTCAAAGATAATGCCCAGGTTATGGGCCTGGTGACAGGCAGGAGAGTGGTTTTGCTGCAACTATGGAGAGGAGGCTGTGTGGGATGAAACTGAGAGCTCTGTTTTAGTCATAGCAAGCTTGGGTTGTTGGCCGGGCATCCACGTGGAAATGTGAGAACGATAAGCCAAGCATTTAGCTTGGTCGACAGGAGACCATCGGAAGGACGAGGGATGAGGTGTCCAGATGGATATGGTGGCTTCGCTCGTGTTTGTGGGTGAGCCAAGCCAGGGATAAAGGGGAGGTGGCAAAGAGGAGGGGGCCAAGTGCAGGCCCCTGGGGGACGCCATAGGAGGCTGGGAGGAGGGCAAGGGAACTCCTCTGAATGGTAAATGTAAGAAACAGTTGGGGGAAGAGAACTAGCAGACAGTGGTGTAAGTCAAGATTTCAAGGATCGCAACATGGCTGACTGCTGAAGGCAGCTGACAAGTCGAGGAGGAGGACAGAGGACTGGTTCAGAGACACAGCTCAGAAGATGTCATTGAAAGCTTTGTTGGTTGGCTGTACAGACAGCAAATGGTGGATGGGTGCTGCACCGGAAAAGAAAGGTCAGCATGGAAGAAGGGCATAGGCAGGCTCATGGAGATAGCAGTTTTATGACTCTATATGTCACTCAGGACGATAAGAGAATTGCAGTTGCAGGATGCTCCCCCACCTGCACTGTGACAAGGAAGCTCACATACGTGATTTATCCGCAGCGAAACCATGGACAATGTGTGCAGCCACGTGTAACTGCTATCTATGGCTTATGAGGGCAGAAGCAGAAACTGCTCCCGAGCCCAGAGTCAAAGTGCTCTGTGCCTGCAGAAAGCAAAGGGTAACCATTCAGTATCAGGGCTGTGCATGCTTGGTGAGGCTCAAGGCCATGCGATGCACCATCAAGGTGAGCGACTGCCCTTGGACAGGTCTAGCATTGAATCTCTGCATTACCTGCATGAGGGTAGTTTATCTCCCTCGGGAGGGATACCAAAAGATAGTAAATATGCACAGTAGGGTTCAGGCATCAAGGTGATGAGTAGCAAAACTGGTCTAAAGGAACAGGCAGGTTCTGGAGCAGAGGGCACTGGGGATGTGTCTGCAGTCCATGTGAATGAGACTGAGCCTGGGTTCTCAGGCTAAATGTCTTTATTTCCACTCTTCCTCCTGTCTTAATCAGTTCATCTATACAATGCCTTTGTTTTCTATTTCTTTGATTGTTTTTGGGCCTGACTCATTTCCTTATTCAGAACCAGTAAACTAGGCAAGTTAAACTAGTCCCTTTGCCAACTCTCAAGGCAAAGCTGCTGCTGCTGTCTGGGCCAGACAAGACAGCAGTACCATTTGATTTGGGAGGCACCAATAGAGCTATTTCCTTACCTGCAGTAGCAAAAGATGGTCTTCTTTCTGACCAGAAAGTAACCTAGAAGATCTGTTGCAAAGGTAGGTAGGATTGTCAAGGGGCTAAACACCCAACTGCAACTGCAGTTAAGTGGGTCTTCGTGCCCAGCTCCTTTGGATTGCTTTGGAAATCCCAGCAGTTTCACAGTCCTGGCATTACTCTGCTCACTGTCTCTGCATTATGTGCAACATCAGCTAGTTTCACAACTAGCGTTAGCACTTCTTGTGAGTTGTGGGCTTCAGTGGTGAGGCTAAAGATACAAGCCACATGGCCTGCTGCTCACCTTGTTATATGGTTGATTATATTTAATATAATGACTAATTACAAAAAAAATCCCTTTTGCAACAGTTTGCTTGAATAGAAATGATGGACTAGAACCTCAGGCTCCGACTCCTCTCATTTCTGCATTGAGCTTTGAAGCCATTGTCTTTGGCATCACTTCAGCATGCTGGATAAAAGCAACATCAAAAAAGCCCCTGTCACGTTGCATTTGCCCCGGGGGGAAAAACCCAAGTGGCCAAACATGTCATTCTGTGGTTTTCCACATGACCACGGTTTGCTTTGTTTTTCTCCTTTCTGGCACCTAAGCACTTTGGAGATTTGTGAGACGACAACAATCGTATTGTGCATATGCAACAGGACTGGAAATGAACCAGTGATAACATGTTCCTGCTGGGACTGGAAGTGAGCAAGCACCCGGAGACCCCAAAGCAGCACTTCTGTTGTTCAGCTAAAGGAGGCTGCCCCGAAATTAGACCCACCGTTTCATCCACAATCTACTGAAATAGCGCAGCGTCGCTCTGGTCTCCTCAACTGTGCTTTTTATTTGTTACAGGCTATAAACCTGAACACCTCAGCACTTTGGATCAGGCATCTGTGGCTGTGCTTGTTACCGCTTGAACCTTTCTTTAACTTCAATGGCAAAGAAAGGAAAAAGCGGTCGGGCTGGTCCCCTGCTCATGTGGTCAGACTAGCTCAACCGGTAATTGAAGAGATATGCCTTTCCTCTGAAAGGGCAAGGTGGGTTCCCTGCCATGCACCACATTTTCCTTCGCTTACTGAACAAACACTAGATCAGTTTGGCAAAGGCAAACCTTGCGCAGCGCAAGGCTAGAGACTGCACGGGCCGGGGCTTTCCAGCCTGGACAAGGGTGACTGGGGGGACCGACAAAACAGCCACGGCACAGGGAAAGCAGACTGTGGTTTCATATTTGCCACACTCAGGAAGTGGGTTGAAAACCAGCAAAAGGAGGTTTTCTTCCACGCAGCGTCTGGTTCGCAGTGCAGATGGTTGCCAGATGTTAGTGGGGGCGTAACCAGATCGAGACAGGAATAGCCCCAGGGTGTTCAGCCCCAGATCTGGCCACCCTGCCTTTGCTGCCAGATGTCCAGACCTGTGGGGCCCGATCCTGATGTGCGGGGCTGGGCTGAGCAGGGATGGGAGTGAGGCTTCGGGGCCTGATTCTTCTCTGTGGGCCAGGTGGGGCTCCAGGGCCCGATCCTGGTATGATGGGCGGGGCCCTTGGGCCCTATCCTGATATGTTGGCCAGGGCAGGGCCCGATACTGGCGCACAGGCACCAATTCTGGTATGTTGGCCAGGGCCTCAGGGCCCGATCCTGACACGTGGGGCGAGGTGGGCGGGGCCCCAGGGCGGCCGGCAGCTAGGCAACATGGCGGCACCGAAGCCGGCAGGAGGGGAGCGGACTGCTTTTCCGCCCGCCCTGCCCTCGCCTCATGGTAGAGCCGCAGCTTCGGGACGCCCGCTGATTGGCCGCGCGTCCGGCACGGTGCGGCGCCATTGGCTGCGCGCGGGAAGTCGGCCGCCTCAGATTAGCCGACCGGAGTGGAACCGCAGGCGGGCGCGCGCTGCCCCCGGTGCTCGTCTGCCATTGGCCGGACGCGAGCTCAGCGGGCGAGGGAGCGCGGCGGCCATTGGCTGGGGGGCGGGGCTCGGAGACGCCGGCCGCTGCGGGCCGAGATAGCTGCAAGGCGAAGGAGCCGGCGGCGGAATGGGTGCGGAGCCGCGGCGCGAGGCCGGGGGTAGTCCCATCTTCACTCTGGAGGAGGTGTCGAGCCGGGCCTCGAGCCGGGAGGCTTGGCTGGTCATCCACGGCCGCGTCTACGACGTCAGCCGCTTCCTGGCTGAGGTGGGCCCGGGCCCAAGGCTCTGCGGGGGGCGGGGCGAGGCAGTGGCAGTTGGTGGGGGCAGTTGAGGGTTGGGGCAGGGGCGGGTCGGATGCCCGCTCCCTGGAACCTGCTTTTATTTTCCGAGAAAGTAGCTGAACCTTGGAGTTGATTTCGATCCGAAGAAATGCTTCGATATTCTTCTGTCAGACTCATGAGGCAAAACGAATGCGTGCGGGGTCTTCCTTTCTAGCCGTGTCAGGCAGGGGCAGGGCTTTGTGGGGAGACCTCCCGTTATTTATTTGCAGTGGGACATGTTGTGTTTTGCTGTTTACGCCCCATCATCACAGTAGCCTGAGGAGAGCAGGGCTCTTCCACAGGAAAACTTGGTCAAGGGCAAGGCAGCTCCTGACAACAAGGTGTCTTTGACCCCGGAGTGGCTTAGGCTGGCCCGTGTCCGCTGTAGTTGCGTACAGCATTTATAGAGAAATGCAATGGGAAAGTCTTGCTTTTCTCTGTAAGGGTCTCCAGAATCTGGAACACACTCCCAGCAGAGGTGGTGCAGTCACCGTCCTTGGAGGTTTCATAGTAGGTCGGGTCGGAAGGGACCTGAGCAGATCATCAAGTCCGACCCCCTGCCATGGCCTCCTTGGACCTGCTTGAGATACATCTCTGGATGCACAACAAGGTGCGGTTGGCCTTCTTGACCGTGTCACCACACTGCCGGCCCATGTTCATCTTGGCATCAATGATGACTCCAAGATCCTTTTCTGCCTCTGCACTGACGAGAAGGGAGTTCCCCAGCCTGTAGGTATGGTGCTGGTTCTTCCTCCCCAGGTGCATCACCTTGCACTTGTCAGTGTTGAAACCAATCCTGTTCTCATCCGCCCACCC